GGACTTGTGTCGCTAAAGTTTCGTCGGAACAAAGTGACGGGAAATCAATTAACAAATGGAGACGTAACAGCATTATAAATTTTTGTTAATATAATGTCAGTGTTAAAATTGTTATTACTTTAACAGCCAATTTATGTCATGTCTCTGAAAGTAGGCTAATAAGAAAATGTTTATCTTCATGAATTGAACTCAAAGAAGGTTCAATAAAAGCATCGCAGAAAATTGAAATGTCTTTCCTAATATAGAAAAATGAGGTCACATTACAGGTGTGGCAAGACCCAAAAGTTATATTTCTTACCAATAACTAAAAAGGCTAGGAAATTAATAAACTATTGATCAAAAGTCAATTCACAAAGTTTGAAGCTTACCAATGAAACAAATCAGGTTAAAGATGATTTTTCAATGCTGAGATGAGAGCAAGAAAATAGTAACATAAAGGTATTTTATTACAGAAAAACAACAATTTACTTTTAGAGAAAATAATAATAATTTTGGTTATTTTTCTACTTTTGAGCTGCACTTAATGTATTTTTTGTACTAAGAACTACAAACATTTTATATTAAATTTGAATAATAACACTATATGTCTGGCAAGACTATTATCAAGTGTTTTTGTTATCAACCTGAATATTCATTTACAAAAGAACAAACAAGTGAGCCATTGATGATTAAAATAAGAAAGTAAAAAATAATTATCAGGAAAAATACTAAAAAAAGAGTGTCATTAGACAAAATTAAAATTAAGATATTCATAACAGATCAAATACTAAGAATGAAAGAATCAACACTATAATAGTGGAGAAGGAAAGTAAAAACTATACAAATAGTAGTAACATGAATATGTCAAAATATTAGAAAGTACTAAATACACTGATTATTCACAATGATGTAATTTCAAAATAACTAAAACAGTTAAATGAATGTACTAATATTTTTTAAGGAATTAATAATTACATAAGAAAAGAATATCAACATATTTCTGAAGAATTTAATGGCTTAATGAAATAAAGGATGAAATTGCAAGATAAAAAAAAGAAAGTGAGGATTCTATAAAGGAAAGAAGGAATAGACGTATAAAATAAAAATAAGTAAATAATGAATATTAATAAAAAAAGAAGAGAAGAGTGAGTGGAATAAATTAACAAGAAATGGTTGAATAAAATAATAAAAATTAAAGAATAAAGGACTGAATAGATAAATTACAAGAGAAAAAATCAAATAAATAAAGTAAAAATGTAAATGGAATAAATAATTATAAGTAAAAGGCCTTAGAAAGACAAAATAAATGAATCAGTTACTAAGCAACAAAGACAAACAAATTACTTACTTAATCGGGGATCCAGCCAAGATGTGGTGCAGTCGTTATGATTAATAAAATACACTTCACCTTCTGGTGTACATGCCTGTTCCCAGCCTTCAGGAAGTGGACCTAGGTTTATTGGTGGTATGTTTGAACCAGAAGTGGAAGTTGATACTAAAAGGTTAGAACTTCTCGGTGTAGTCAAAGCTCCAACACTAAGATTTTTACGGGGATCTTTCCATGTGGTGGTTTTTGTTTCATGGCTAAAACAACAACAAATTTATTTACACTACTCTGTAAAATACATAATATTTAAGTACAAGAAATGATGTGAAAAGAAACATTTTATTATTTTTTTTTATACATAACGTTAATTAAACCTAAGAGGCAGAAAACATTTAAAGCAAAACAAAAATACATGGATCCAAAAAAAAGTAAGCATGGTGATGGAGTGAAAAAGTACAGCAAACCATCAATGAAAAGAAGAAGGCCTTCAAAGAATAGCAGATAAAGAAGGATGACTATTCAAGAATGGAGTTCAAAAAAGGAGGGGAAGAGAGTGGTAGCAGTGGCAAATATTGAGACAATTAAAAATTGGTATGACAACATGGAGACACCAGAAGGGAAGAAGATGGTATACAGAATAGCCAAACAAAGGGAAGTGGCAAAGAGAGAGACATCCCAGTGATCAAAGTAATTAAGGACAATAAAGGGGAACCTCCTGGCAACTGAAAAGTCAGTAAAACAGAGATGGAAACAGTACTAACATGAACTACTAGGCACCAAAACTGAAGCAGAAGAAGCAGGCAACAACAATAGAGGCCCAGTACTGGATGTTAGTAGAGTGGAGATCAAAAAAGCAATAAAAAAATGAAGACAGACAAGGTGGGAGGTCCATCAAAGATTGTCATTGAGATGGTAAAGACACTAAATGATGGAGTTGAGTATGTATGGACCCTGTTGAAGAACATCAGGATGAAAGAGAGAGCCTATTGATACCCATCTATAAGTAGAAAGGAGATGCTCTAAAATGTGAAAACTGTAGAGGAATATAACTGGTGGAGCATGAAAGTGAAAGAAAAGGTACTAGAAAAGAGAATAAAGGAGGTCATAAACATTGAAAAATACAGTTTGGGTTTTGGCCTGGGAAAGGAACAATAGATACAATCTTCATTTTGTAACAGTTACAGGAAAAGTACCTAGAAGGAAACAAGCTATACCATGCATTTGTAAGTTTGGAGAAAGCATATGTCAGGGTACCATGAGAATTGATATACTGATGCTTCTGAAAGAAAAGAGTACCCAAAAAGCTAATCAGACTAGTGAGAGTCACTTATGAAGGAGTGACAACAACTGTGAAGACAGTATATGAAGAAATAGACAAGTTTAAAGTAAATATTGAGCTGCACCAAGGGTCAGCCATTAGCCCCTTGTTGTTCATTATTATCATCGATGTCTTGAATAAGGATTGATGCAAGGAATCCCTGTGGGAGATCATGATTAGACCAGTGCTCCTCTACTGAGCCAAGAACTGGACCCTGAAGAAGAAAGAAGAAGGCTTGTTGATAAGAACAAAAATGAGAATGCTAAAATGGCTGTTGAGAGTGTCACCAAAAAGAGAAAAGAACGAATTAGAAAATTAAGGAAATGGCAGGAGTCTGTAGAATTGAGGAAAAGGTAAGAGAAGTGAGTCTGAGGTGGTTCAGTCACATGAAGAGAAGAAGAACAAGCAATAAAAAGAGGATTAGAGCTGCCAATAGCCAACAAGAGAAGACAGGAAAGGCAAGTAAGGCATTGGAAGGATGGAATTAAAGACGACATGAACAAGAAAGGAACTGCAGAAGACCTGGCAATGAACACAGAAGACTGATTAGTGGAGAACAACACATATGAAATATGGTAACTCTTGCTAAAGGGAAAAGCTGAAGAAGAAGAGTTACTTAAACCTAACTCAAATTTTTCAGAAAAGAAACCACATGACATTTTAAATGCAAGAGTACAACTGATATGTGGACATTTGCCATTAGAAGTATACAAGCAGGTATTCTCTACCCATGTAATCATGAAGCATTACCAAATATGTAATTCTGTTATCTTATATGACTCGTATGTTATTTGTGATATCTCATCTATTTAATTATACATAAAGAACATGATTTTCTAGGGGAAATGACATTATATTACATTACACAGATGTAAAGGTATTGTTACGACAGCGGGGGTCACGTGACGAGTATTCTAGAAGATTCGCGATAAACGTTAGTGTGTTACGACAGCGGAAGTCAAGTGACGCTGGTATCACGTGTTGAGTGCCTAGAAAGTTCTAGAAGAGGCGGTATTATCATATATAAGTGCGCTAGACAGAGAGAGAAGAGAGAGAGAGAGTGGGGAACCAAGGACAGCGGTTACGGTCGGGAACCGAGGATAGCAGATACAGAGATCGGAACTATAGTTGCTGACAGGCAGAGATAGAGACGGACAATTGAGTCAAGCGCGGTAGAAAGTGAGTGAATTGTTGTGAACTATAATGTGTGTAACTGTGAAAATTAAGTGTATTGCAAAGTTGTATTGAGGATGAATAAAGAAGTTTTATTTAAGAAAGGACTTGTAACGTAGAAAAATTAACAAACAAACATACAGAGACGTAACAAATTGGTGTCAGAAGTGGGATAGAAAATAAAAAGAAGAAAATGGAAACGAGAGGCGGCAAATCAAACTACAGCTTAGCAGATTTGATGGCAGCAATAAAAGAACAAGAAAAGAAACAAGAAGAACGAGAAGAGAAATTACAGCAGTGGTTGGAGGAAAAAGAAAAGGACAAGAAGAACGAGAAAAGAAACAAGAAGAAGGACAACAGCAGATGCAAGAAAACCTGCAACAGTGGCAGCTCGAACGAGAAATAAACAAGAAGAACGAGAAAAGAAACAAGAGAGACAACAGCAGTTGCAAGAAAACCTGCAACAGTGGCAGCTCGAACGAGAAAATAAACAAGAGAGATTACAGCAGTGGTTGGAGGAAAAAGAAAAGAAACAAGAAGAGAGACAACAGCAGTTGCAAGAAAACCTGCAACAGTGGCAGCTGGAACAGCAAAATAGACAAGAGAGATTACAGCAGTTCTTGGAGGAGAAAGAAAATAAACAAGAAGAGAAATTACAGCAGTGGCAACTGGAACAAGAAAGGAAACAAGAAGTACAAACGGAAAACATTAGTAAATTTAAAAGCGAATTAAATACATTAAAGGATGATTTATTGTCTTTTACACAAGGAGGATACATTAACTATCGACTTACTCAGCCCCAGGCAACAGCAAGCCCCTTCTAGACCCCGCAGCTAAACCCTAATGCAGACATCTTCAGTCCTGTTAAAAGTTACATCCCAGATATGAAGCTCAGCAATAGGGGTGATCCAGTACATAGGAAGCCACAGGAATTCGATGGGAAGGCACCATGGGAAGCACAAAGAGCACAATTTGAGCTCCTGGCAGAAATGAATAGGTGGATAAAGGAGCAGAAAGCAGTATATCTGGTAACTAGCTTGAAGGAACAACCACTGGAAATATTTGGACAGTTGTCAGCAGACGACAGGCACAACTATAGAGCACTGGTAGCAGCTCTAGAACTCAGGTACGAAACCCAAAATCAGTCGGAAGTCTACAGGGCTAGGTTTAGGACGAGAGTCCGTGCTAAAGGGGAGAGCATGCAAGAGCTGGCACAGGACTTGGAAAGTATGGCACACAAGGCCTACCCAACTGCACCACCCGATCTCCTCAAGTTGTTGCTGAGAGATCAGTTTGTAGACGCCTTGGACAGTCCACAACTGAAAATACAAGTGAAGCAAGCACACCCCTCTACTATGTAGGATGCAATGGTCAGAGCTCTTGAATTTAAATCCTACGTTAAGTCCAGCACAGAGGTAACAAGGTTGGTACAGTCATCAGGATTCAAGGCCAGAAAAGGTCAGCTTTCAGAGAAGTTTGAGGAACTTTGCTGGCACTGTAACAAACCTGGGCACAAGAGAGCTCAATGCTGGAAACTTCAACACAGGAAGATGCCATGGAAGGAAAGGTTGCTACCCAGAAAGGTTGGTTGAGCTGTGGAAAGCAAGGACATATGAGGAGCAAGTGTAAGAAGAATATTGCCAACAGGTCAGCCTCAAGGACACCAGTAGTGGTTGGCACTGAGGGACACTCACCAACCCCATCATGAAAGTCCCAACAGCTAGGTGTAAAATACCAAGCACACATAGTGTCCATGTGACAGGAAAGCTGGATGGCCAGAGGTGCAACTTTGTCATAGATTCTGCATCTTAGTTATCTGCATGCTTTTAGTTTTACTTGGTCAGCGGAAGCTTGTTGACCTGTTACCTTTTTTTTAATTATTGGGATTCATCATGAACAAGTGAAGTCATATGGCTAATTATCAACATTTATAGTTCCTGCTGGTTGTTGAAAGCAAGATAAATGATATGTTAATTTTACATATAAAGAAAACTTTAAGAAAGTTCTATATAATTAAATGAAAAGTAGAAATCGTTGTGCATGCATGCTCACTATTTCACAAATGTGAAAGTGCATTTTGTAGACTGGATGTAACGACAAAATAGAGTAAATTTTCAATTTATTTGGAAAAGTAACCATTTTAAAACCATCTTATCATCCCTTTGTTACAGTTCTGCTAGGGAGTACATAGAGACAGTAGAAACCTTATTTATCCAAATTAATTATAGTTTGTAGTGTTTTGTCTTGCTTGCTTCTACAAAGGAAATATGTTTCATATGAAACTCATAATACTGTTACGTCTCTGTATGTTTGTTTGTTATTTTTTCTGCAATACAAGTCCTTTCTTAAATAAAACTCGTTTATTCTTCTTCGATACAACTTTGCAATACACTTAATTTTCACAGTTACACACACTATAGTTCACAAAAATTCACTCATTTTCTACCGTGCTTGACTCAATTGTCCGTCTCTATTTCCGCCTGTCAGCAACTATAGTTCTGATCTCTGTTTCTGCTATCCTCGGTTCCCGCCGACCGTAACCGCTGTCCTTGGTTCCCCACTCTCTCTCTTCTCTCTCTGTCTAGTGCACTTATATATGATAATATCGCCTCTTTTAGAGCTTTCTAGGCACTCAACACGTGCTACCAGCGTCACTTGACTTCCGCTGTCGTAACACACTAACGTTTATCGCGAGTCTTCTAGAATACTCATCACGTGACCCCCATTATCGTAACACTGCCCCTTCTT